TGAGCTTTGAGTCATCTAAAACAAGTGACATTTTGTTAATCACAACAGATCATATGTAGTTAGGTCTGTGTAAAGCTGGGCAGACAGGTGTAAAAACAGAAAATGATCTGCAATCTGAGTGACAGCAATGAAGATGCTCAGGATGCTAAAGGGTAGCACCATCAAGAGAAGAGGGTACCATATAATTGTCTCGTTCTTGCATCAGATGAGACGGAGGTTCTTAGAAATAGGAACAACATAATTAATTCAAAGACAGCCATATGCAGTTTGACATTATAGTAAGTGGCTGATTTGCTGATTGGAAAATGTCAGAGGCCGTATCAAAAGAAGCGATGAAGCTACGCCAAAAGGGCAGGCACATCCCGCTGGCACAAATGAGTTCTTACTTAGAAAAGGGTAATGCAGAGTATGTTTGGTAAGATGAAACTGTGATGGGTGCTGCACTACTTGCAGAGCCGACCTGGCATTTCAATCAATCACCCTATCAAACAAAAGGATTTGAGCTACTTTTCATGGGAGGCAAAAAACAATGTCTGTTACTTCGGGCTTCTGACCACCGAGGTGCAGGATACAGCAAATGAGCAGATCTGTACAGAACGAGGCAGAGGTCAGAGGATGATGAAAGATCTCTGAGAGATGTCGAAATCATATGAAGTGAAAGAAGATGAGAGGAGAAAGGGAAGCAATCGACTAGGGAAGAAGAAGATGAAACATAAATGCTTCCATATTGAGTGGCCAGGTTACAAAATGGGTTAGCAAGAAAATGGATGCTCTGTCACATGACAAGGTGACATAAGGCCATAAGTGGCACAGACTCAAGATCAGGTCGAGTCCACTACAGACATCAGGATTACAGCTATAAAGGAAAGTATCAAAGAAAGAGAAAATAAATAATCTAAATAATCATCTCTTAGAGAAGGTGGAAGGGACAAGGGAAAATGAGGATTGCACCATCTTCAGGTAATTCACTAAAAAGGCTGCCAAACACAGTCATATCAAGTGGAACAGTGAAGAGGTCCAGGGTGAGTTGTGGCACAGAATCCAAATGAAAGACAGGCTAAGAGTGACACAGGAGGAATACACAATTCCCACTCTGGAGAGCTGAACGGACCTGAGTAGCTAAGGCCTTACGTCTGAGGACAGTCCGCGAAGGAGGTGGGGAGAGTGCAGCAGGTGCCTCCGCGTACTGCTGAGTGATTTATGTCTATGCGGGGGCAACAAAATGTAGAAACAAGATCGGAACACATTCTGCGATGAACTCAGGACTTTGCGGACTGCTGACTGATAGTTCCTGTCTCCCCCCTACAATGCTTTGAGATGAGACAGAGCGACAGATAAGGCCAGAGAGAATGCATTTTCAAGGATGTGTCACGAAACAAGATGGAGGAGTGAGCGAGTGGGATTTTGGGGACAAAGCGGAGCTCAAGGAAACAGAAGTGCTAATGTGACAGGAGTCTGCAGAGTGCTGTGTCGACACTCGGCTTTCCTCCTCGCAAATAGTGTAAATGCTTTTCTTGCAATATGCCACGTAATACGGCTTTAGCTTCGCAGGTTGTGCTGTAAGAGTCCTGAGGCCAAAATGGGATACTGTTGACAATAACAAACCCCTACAGATGAAGTGTTAATTAGCAAATTGCAGAGGAAGGAGGGGCAGAGAACGTCTTAGATGAAAACAAATCAGCTCATGGACACGAATCCCAAGGAGCACAGCAAGAAGTCAATACTGCTACTGTACCTCCCGTATTAGCCCTTGTCTTTCATGCATGGGAATTCAACTGTCTTCCATTTAAATGTGATAAATCTAAACTAAAGAAATAGGCTCCCAATCATATATGATATTTATATCTGTATTATGAATATGCATTTCACCTTTTAGCCTAATTTGAATCCCCAGTGTGCAGCAGGTTGGGCTACCGCCCGTCGACAGCTTGCATAAGAGAGGTGGGTCATGTCAGGGATGATAAAAAACTGTTCACGACCAAGCTATCAAAATGACATTTATGAGACCTGCATAGTTTCAAACTTTTACTGGCAGTCATCGTTGCTCAATTATATTTTATTAATTTTCTGCTGTGTAATATTTGCCCTTGAATGAGGAAGGTTCTTACTGTTCTTTATCACCAATCTTTACTCATGTTGCACTGGATCTATTCCAGAATTATCCTGAACAAAAACTTGCTTTTTTCTCCTTCTTCTGGCGCCTGCCTCCCTGTCAACAGTCCCTTTCGTATGCTTGTTAGTTGATGACTTACACATATTCCCAGAACCTCCAAGTTATTACACTCTTCTGGCTCTGTAATGGCAATTTAGCCCTCGCCCCTCTTAGCATGGGGTAATCCCTGCTTTATTTGGCTCACAGGATAAAACAGTCAGCTAAATTGCCAAGTATAGTCGAGTCAAGATGAAAAGACTGCCATGATTTCAAGCCTGAATTTAGTTTACACTGTTGGCAAGACAGAGGTGTTCCATGTTTACCCTTTAAGTGGAAGTGGAGTGCACCTTTCATCGACGACATGTCTTACAGGTCCTCCCCAGACCTTTCATTATGAGCCTGATAATAGTCCAGTCTCACTGGCATGGGGCACCAGGAATTAAACTGAGAGATAAGAAAGACAGTCAGCCATTTCATCTCTTGTAATGTGAATCATTGGAATGCACCCAAAGTATTTTTTGTCTGCCCTCACCTAGTGTGACAGTATCCCCTCCTCCGCAGCACGGTTAATTCCCCCTGATCCTCAGTGCTATAGCCTTCTGTTCTTTACATAATATTAGTGTTTACAACACTCAAAACACGAGATTACATTTGCAAGTTTAAATTTAAAATGTCAGTGTTTAGGTCCAACAAACACAGACTTTTGATGAATTGCCTTGCATTTCATCAAAGAATTGATTTTTTGACAAGTTCAACAATGTGAAGTCAAATTTTAAAAAAAGGGATGCAGCCTCCCGGTCGAGTGGACGATCAGTTGGTCAATAAGTTCTTGTCCGAGAAATCATCATGTGTATGACAACTGCAAATGCTACAGTTAGGAGAATATCATTTCAGGATGAACCCATTTTTAAACCAAAGGGGATTTACTGAATTTTTATTTAGAGTTGGCTCCAAACTGACAGTGAGCCAATAAAGTCATTAGTGCAGCTATGTTTTGTCTAAACAGATGCCTGAAAAGTTAAGTGTAACATATTTTGTGCAATAATTAATTTGATCATATTTAATGAGCTGAAAATACTTATTTTCAATATGTATTCATAATTCATTTCGGCTAATAGGGCCACCGGGTAGAGTGCACACAGTGCACGGAGGCATATTTGACTGCAGTTCGAAAATGATCACAGTAAAAGAAAATAGCCAGTCCACACAAAGGGTATTACAATCCCAGGTTTGGTACATAATATTTATAGAGAAGATCAATATGTACTCCTGATCAAATATGGGATCTGAAAATAATATGCCATCAGCATGACATGTTGGGTCGTCATGTTTTTAAAAATAGGTGACACTACATACCTGTAACATAAATGCTCAGCATTATGAAAATCATTAACTACAACATCCTCTAGATTCATTCCCCTCCAGAACTTCAGATTCAGAGCAGCATCATAACCGGCAGCACTTCATGCCCATGGGAGGCCAAGGGGGTCAAGGTGTTATTTGTGCTGGCTCTTTGCAATCAAACCAGTGTGAGCAACCTACGTGCATTACAAGTTACCAGGTGACCTGCCTCGAGGACAGCCAGACAGTCAGTAACTAAAATGGAAAACTATGTGGAGGATCGAGCCGCCCCCCTCCTCCCCCTCCTCCTCCACTACCTCCTGCTTGCTGTTAAAACCTATATAGTCATTCCTCCAGCGAGAACACTAGAGAAATTCATGCCATGGATATGCCAAGTCTAGGAGATAGACTGAGAATGAGTGGGCCGGGAAAAAAAACCCCACAAGATAGAGAGCTGAATATCTCTTACACAATGGGTAACAGCTTTGTAGAGTGGGCTACCTGATCCAGGTGGGCTTAGCCCATCATTAGCCCCATCTTACAACTGTTCCAGTTCATCAGCGATTGAGAAAAACCTCAGTATATTCTGCAGTAGAACAAAAAAGGTTTAACCAAGGATGTCAGGTACACTAGACAGCAGCAAATGAAAACAAGAACAGAGGGAAGAAAGGTATTCCCACATTGCTAGAGTCTGTAAATACTGTTTTGAAGAAACACTCGCCTGCGTACAAAACATTTCAGAAGATTCCACTTCCTTCTAGGACCTTAAAACACCATTTGTGTGTCTGTGTGTGTGTTGTGTCCTTCCATGCTGAGCTTAAATGTGGATGACCAGTTTTTGGGTAACTAAGCACTAGCAAGCGAACAAGTGAGTAAGTTCAGCTAGTGCTGTTGAGAGACTATGAGCATTTGGTATTTTCTGTCACGAGTCACCGATATGTCAAGAAAAAAGGGAAGTCGTCACCTCGGTGGAAGCTCTGCTCAATGACAAGAGACTCTATCAGCATTCACATCCAGAAGTGTATCTCCCTTCCATTCAGCTATTCTCCACACACACAATACAGCTCGTCAAAAAATTGAACAGTAGAGAAAACACAAAATACTAAGTCTGCGTTATGCTGGAGGAAAAATAAGGCAAATGAGAACCTTAACAAGCACAAACAACATTGCTTAAGCTCAAGATTAGAGAGCAGAGAGAATGTTATCATACTCATTTATCTGTATTTCTGTACAATTGTGCAGAAAAACAAACATTTGCATCTAAAGAGAGATTATGTTATGCAAATATATAAACACCTTTCTGAAAACCTGAGATATCTTGTTATACACGAAGTGGTCCTAACGCCGATTCTGCTTTTTTCAGTGAAAATCCATGGTGATATTGTTTTCGGGTATGTAATCAAGTGGCAGACTTTTCATCTTTCAAAGCAGTACAAATAATTACCTCTGGTCGCTTCACTGTGGACAGAGTTTTGTGTAGAAGTGGTGGCGGTGGTGTGGGTCATACCTCGCATTCTCGGGAGCCTGAGATAGTATAGGTGCAGGGTCCTGTCCCATTGACAAGCACATCCATGGCCTCAGAATTGGTGGGCTTGTAGTCCACATAGTACTCCTGCAGTGGGGAGCTTAGGGTGCGCTCCGTCTCCCTGGCTTTCTTGCGGCGTTTGCGGGCTGCTGCTGAATGCTCCTGCAGCTGCTTGACGCTGCTTGGATAGCGCTTCCAAGACACGTAGATCACCAACAGGATCATCGCAACAGATAGAAAAAGGGCAACACTTCCAGCCACAATCTTATGGAAGGACACAGGCTCCATGTCTTGCTCCGGGGGCAGAGCCACAGGTGGTGTAACTGCTGAGGACGTGGAGCCCCTAACAGAGCCGTCTCCTTTCTTTCCAGATCCAGTGGGTGAAGCCAGAATGGCCGGGCGGTGGTCAGTCTGCACAGGGAGATTGGATGGGGTTGTAGCAATACTCTCAGAGAGTGTTGTCCCTGGGTTTGATTGACAAACACCAAAAGCTTCAATAGCATCCATCACTTTCTCACCCTGGGCTTTCTTGGGAGAGGCGCAGATCATGGTGGTTTCCTTTGCTCCTCTGAATTTTCTCAGCCAGCCCACCAAGGGGCAGATGGCCGGGCCACAGTCCCATACATTCCCAGCTAAGCTAATCGTAGTTAAAGAGATCCAGGCATCAACCACCTCCTGGGAAACATTGGTCAGCTTGTTTGAGTCCAGGTTGAGCGTCTGCAGGTTGGGCAGACATTGGTAGACAACGGCATCCACTTCGGTCAGATCGTTCCCAGACAAATCCAGTTTCTGGATGGAGGCCCAGGTCCAAGTCAGGCCCTGGCTCATTGAACGAATGCGATTCCACTGCAGATAAAGAGCCCGAAGATTGTAGAGGCGAGGAAAGTGAGAGAAATTGATTTTTGAGAACTGGTTATGCTCCAGGTGCAGCTCAGTGAGCTTGACCAGGCCTGAAAATGCATTCCGAGTGATACTGCGCAGGCGGTTGTAACCCAGGTCCAGGAACTCAAGATTTCTGCAATCTTGAAACAGACGCACTGGGACAGTTTTTAGAGAGTTTGAGCGTATGTGAAGGCTGAGAAGCTTCCTCAGGCCCTGAAACTGCCCAGGCTGCAAGGCTTGCAGTTTGTTATAGGACAGGTCCAGATTTCGCAAGTTAGGGACTGGGTGGAATGTGGTGTTGTGGAGTGATGTGATCTTGTTGGAGCTCAGGATCAGCTCCTTGAGCCTGCGGACCCCTTGGAAGGCCATCCCATCCACAGTGGCAATGTAATTATGGTCCAGGTAGAGCCAGATAAGATGGTTGAGCCCCACAAACTGGCCAGCTCGCAGACTGGCGAGGCTGTTGTACCGTAACGACAGGCCCTCACAGCCTCCTGAGAGGTTCTTAGGAACATCACGAAAGGCGCTTGACTCACAATAGACAATTTTTCCATCACATCGACAGCTTTTGGGGCATGGGCGCTCACTCAGAGATGGATTTGCCGCCAGCCACACCTGCATCAGGAGTTGGACCACTAGCCAGCGGTGCCGCAGAGCAGAGCCTATGGGAGGGAGGAGACAGAGAGGTGTTAAATAAAGGTAAACTCAAACAGATTTTGTGAAACTGGAAACTTCCAATTGGTAAAGTAACTGAAGTACTTGTGTTTATAAAGCTGTTCTAAAAATGGCGCAAAAATAATGCTTTTATTTTATTTGCTCAAAATACTTTGGAGAAGGAAAATATAACTGTCAAAGCTGTAAACTGGTGGTGAATGACTGCCTTACTAATTGTTTCTGTTCATAGTGCATTCTACTTTTGTTAATATTGACCATTTATTTAATTTTGATTGTGTGTTTAGTGATATAATATTAGTTTTAACTTATTGGTGTGGACTCATGTCTACAAATATGTATTGGCTTTTGAAACTGCTGTAATTTGTGTCACAAGAAATTCACATTGACAATTAAAGTTTAATCAAAGCAATTTACTCAGTCATGTATTATCTGTATTTGTATTCACTGCAGCAGTGGCAGGTAAGTCAGAAAAGGAAACCTATACAGAGCAGATTGGTTGTGTAAACAATCCCAGAGGCATTTCAATTCAGACTCCAACCACAGCGGGACAGATTCAGCCGGAATCATCGTTCCTGCTTTTCACGGGTCCAAAAGGAAAAAGAGGGAGAGTAAAGAAAATCTAAATAACCCCTATGGAATTACACAATTCATCTCTGCTGCAGGAAACTGCGTGTTTGCCAAGGCTGTCTGCGGAGAATGACTATTTATGATGCAAACATCTTAATTTTATGGGAGTAAATGCTGTGTTCCAAATGTGATTTTAAAAGTGAAGCAAAATGGTCAGTGGCTTCCTCATATCGCTCCTTGTTCTGAGGTAAGACAGAGTTGTTTCCATTAAAATCGTTCCCCCTTACAGAGCCACTAATGATCTGTCATTAAGATGCATTGATTTCCCCTTGAGGAGGTGGTATGGAGGGATTCACTGCTTATGGGTGTTTCTCAAGGAAACATCATCAACTTTGGACTTTATTACCAATATCACAATGAGATAAGATTAAGATGTCAGGATTCAGGTAGTCCGCACTGGAATTAGCTCACAAAATGAAGTCTCTAATGTGCTGGCAGGTGCTGCGCTTATCAAATTCATTGCGATGAACGTGTTTTCAAGAGACATGTTAACATTACGCTGAACTTGAGCTAAATTTCCAGTGTTTTCCATAATTTTTACAGGATTTGTCAGAAATAATTCCCTGACATAGAACGCCTGAGAGGCATCATCCAGCATATGCTATCTAACATAGCCATTTCACTCATTGCCAAGCATCTGCTGTTCCCATATGGGTGTTGTATTTGTGTGTCTGCTTGTGTGTGTGCGTGTCCAAAAGTGTGATGGAAAGAGAGAGCGAGATGGAAACTGCGTTCAGAGGAAACTTTGATCGTTCCCTACAGAAGTGTGGAACTGTTTAGATAACGTGTGTCGACTATTGATTATACCAGCATATACATCACTCAGACATCTTTGTTTCACTTTAATGTTGCGTAGAGAGACATGGCGATCACAGGACGCCATGTTTCTGATCGTGGCCAATTTGTTTGTCTCCGGTTTCTGAATGTAAATTAATTTGCCAACAAGTCTTGTGTCTCAAAGGCTTAGAAAAGAGAGGTAGTGTTGGCAGAGAGGAATACCGATATAGAACAATTCCCATGTGCAACGTTCCATGTGCATTTACAGGAATTTTAATAGGCACCGCCTTTGACTGGGGAACGGAGTGTGTGGGATGTTAAGCATGAATGCGTGTTTTTTAAATTTTAGTGTTGGTCTCAAATCCCAGGAGGATGTGGCAACGACCCCCTATTGCTTTTATTTCCCATGTGCATAATAGGCTTGCTTTATTAGAAGTGTCTCCGCCATCTCTTTCAGATTGTGACTGTCTCACAAGACACCTCTTTCCCCTTACTGACACTGCATGCGGTTTAATGAGCGCTCTGTGCGCTAATGCCTCTGTAAGCCATCTCCTTCCTCACTACTGCTCTAATCTTATTCACAAAGGAGCACAAGCCACTCTCTGATGTGTCACTCATGGGGCTTGTGTCTCCATAACCTCTTACCTGATGTACTTCTCACAATTACTGTTCTTCTGCTGTATCTACTTAGACGAACACTCCTGCTCCCTCTGTTCTCCATCCTCCGGAAAATGTCCGAGGTTTGCATATCCTTGAACCCTGCAGCCATCCGGGTGTTTTTTTGAGGATATTAAGTCTACTTTATGCACGGGGTCAAATCTATCTTCAAACCTTTCACTCCTCTTGCTGATTTCCATTCTCCCTCCCTTACCCTCTTTCTTTCCTCCAACTTTTCAATGTTTTCCTTACTTTACTTTTCAGTGTCCTGTATAATAACACATAGATCGTTTCTACTCATTTTTCATCGTCACCCACTGCACTTAACTGTCCAAATCTAATATGGATGGATAAGTCAAAGCTAGAGTTTGTCTAAAGGCATGTCCCTAATGCTTAGTTATGTAGCAGACAGCCCTGCTGTCCTCAGCACAAGAAGATAGCTATTTCTGCCTCTCAACTCTAACACATAGGGAGAGTAAGTGCACTTTACTGCTGACCTAAAATAAAACCAAATGTAGCTTAATAACTTGGCAAATGGACTCACTAACTGGTGCACTTTGAGAGCACACAAGTGGCTCATTGCTATTTGGTACCTGTCATTGACAAAACTGCTACGGGCCTCAGCCTTGACTGCACATAGCAGCTGAACAGCAGCCTGGCAACTAGGGAAGGACATATCCAAACCAGCCTAAGCCTTCCTATTAGACCCCCATTATCTTTAAGATGGTAGCAAGGTCTGTCAGGTTAGACCCATTTCAACTGTTGTCTGGAAACATTGTGTCTGTCTGGCATTTGTAGCACTGATTGGGCAGAATAACCTGACACACACACACTGTACACACACACACACACTGTAATGGAGTTAGAGTTTGGCCCGAACCATTGTTGCAAATTTGTGAAACTGACATTTATGTTAGGAGACTATGTCAGATCCTATTTGGATAAGATAACATGTGCAGGTAAATAAATAGTTACAGGGGACAGCTTTCCTCCAGCTGAAAATATTTCTGGATAAAACACAAATGATGTCATAACTTCATTTGTAAAAGCTTGTCTGTTTCTTCTATAATGTCTTAAATATCCTGCAAAAAATACAAATCCTGATCAGGTTGACTCAATGAATCCGGATTGACATGACTGTGTTCATCATGGAGATCACATATAGAGTTAAAGTTATACTAGATAATGGTTGGGGGCTCTGGAATGCATCATGTTAGTAAGAGTACTTGCAAGTATAGATGTTTAGATACCTCAGCTAAATTATCAGATTGAATTATGTTCATCTCATCCGTGGTATTCAACTTCCTCTGTTTCCACATAAAAAACCCGGGCGCAAAAAAACCTTCCTATGTCCGTCTTCAACCGCAGCCATTGTTTATCAATCTGTGTTTTAAGTATGCATATACCAAGAGCTCCTGGTGATCCATTCCAGTGTGCACTCAGCTTATAGCTCCATGCATCCAGGCCCTGCAGTCCTGAATGGGATAGGCAGGCACACTGTAGATAATGGATGTTGGATCCCTCGTGCTTCACAAGCCATTGACGTTGTACTTTGAAAATAAGCAAATGTAAAAAGCACATTCCTAGATCTTGTCCTGAAAAGGCCTGTTGATTCTCCTCTCTGCACTTGATTCAATTGACATTTCAAGAATGTTGCCTGTTGGATGCTGTGAGGCAACGAGAAGGTCGTCTGTGGTCTGTAGGACTTGTATGACACTGATTTTATTTATATGAAGTAACATTACATCTACATTTATTGTCTGTCTAATTATGCAGACAGGTGGTCAAGCTTTCTTTCCGCAGCAGATAGATGTGAACTGTCATTATGGTCTAAATTTATCTTAAAGCTCTGCGTGTGCTTTGCTGGCTGTGGCTTTTTACAGTCCCCCTTCCTGTGTGCAAAGCAGATCTCTAATGATGTGGTCCATGAAACATAAGTGCATTGCATGCTGGTAATGAAGAGCTTCACAGTCGGCTACAGTTGTACATAACTGAAGCTACAGTGCCACATAATCACCAAATAATTGTGGGCGACAGCATGAAACTATGGTTGAAAAATGTTGTGTTCTTTTTGGTTTGGTTTGTGCACCTGGTATGTTTGAATGCACATGCATGTGTGAGTCCCAGGGTTTTCTGAAATTCAATTAGGAAACAATTTCAAACCGCAACTCCATGATTAACCATATATGGTTTCTTTGCAGTATCCATAAATTGCATCTGAGCTCCCACAGCCCATACTGTAGGGCTTTGTGTGCTGTTGTAGCTTATATTGATGTGGTGCAGTAACCCACCGAGGGTCGATATATCATGCGGCCTTACAATTAATGGCACAGCACCACCAGTGAACTTGGCCATCTGTATACTAGTTAAGAACGGCGGAGGAGATTAGACCACATCAGACGACAATATCAGTCGGAGAGGATGCATAAAGGTGGAGGAATCCCAGATTGATGAAACATTTGTGAGAGAGAGGGAGGAATAAAACCAAAGACAGTGAAACACCAGGGAGCCTGTGGAAGAGGGGGCACATAATCAAGTGGTGGGGGTTCCTGTGCGCGCACGGGGACATCAGTACAGGGCAAGATTGGACATTTTAATCGAACAAACTGAGAATAAAATGATGAAAAACATGTGGATTCGCGCAGCAAGAATTACGATCATACGTTCCCACACACACAGGGAGTGAGAGAGAGAGGGGTGATACATGGATGCACAGTTTTACGCTGGATTTAGGGAGTCCCAGGTGAAGAAAACGACGCTTTTCTAGAATGAGAATCAGTCTCTTGAGCCTAAAAACCTGCACGACCCGGCGCCTGCATCCCCGCAAGAGTTTTGGGGAGGAGGCTGAAAACTGGACAATAGGCTCAGTGCGTGCAGATTAAAACCAAGGCAATGATTATGCAGGACCACGCGTTATAAAGTTGACTGGCTTCCAACATTTACCGTGATTAGCATTCCGGTCCATGTCAATGAGGCAGCCACTCTAACTAGTCAGGAATTAGAATGGATAGACCTCGCTCCGATAAACAGATTCCCTCGATTCTCTCACAATTTTGGATCAAATCCTGATGCGCAAAGTCTTGGAAAAACAGGGAACGTGTGTCCTCAGCGTCTCATGATCAATACCGCTCAGGAAATGGAGGGAACAATATATATTGCAGCTCTGCGACTACAGCACAGGCTCCATCCACATTCCTCAAGCTCCCTGATCCACTTGGCGAAAAGATGCCAAAACCTTCATTAGACATCAACGCAGATGAAGAGACGACCATTTGTTTTGACGCAAAACGCACAGATTCAGATCCAGAGAAGTAAATGCATTTTTATGTGGGGGGTGGGGGGGTGCACTACGAGAAAGGAGGACAACTGGAGCATATTGTCCAACAACCCACGCAATGAAAAAAAGATGGTAACAGGACCAGAACTTACCCATATCCGCGTATCTGTCAGCTCCAGCCTACAGGTTTTAATGGCTTCTGGTGCGCGACATCCGAGTCCGCATGACGCGCTCTCCACAGACAGGTACCGTCCTAATCCACGAGCCCGGTCTCTCCGCGCAGCCGCCGACTCCAAAGCGCACCTGCCCTTTACTCTCCCGGACCTGGATGCGCTATCCGGTTCAGTTCTGCATCTACGACCGTGAGACCGAACCGGGGCGAATGTCATTTACTTCCAATTCCAGATGTCAGGGTGGAAACAATCCCGCGTCTTTACTCCCTCTCCATGTCTTCTCAGCGCAAGAATCGTCCTCTCTCCTTTTTTTTTTTTTTTTTTTTTAAGTTACAGCCAAAAAGAGCACTGCAGTGGGCGCATACGATAACGCAGCGCCATCCAAGCGACGCATGTCAGTCGTAGAGATTCCGCGAAAATCGTGTGACACAACTTCACAAATACATTTGCACGATGCGCAAAAAACACACGCAAGGAGTAATTCTCCCCCCCCACCAAAAAAAAAAAGCAGTCGAGCAGCCCTTTTAGATTCCTGTCTCCCGAGTGAGACCCCCGGCGTCTCTCTCTGCTCTACAGGATGCTCAGAGGGATCCGCGCATGGCGCACAGGGGAAAGTAACGGATGGGGTTATCCACAAGCTGTCAGCGAGACCCTGCGTATCCAAATATCCGCTCTTTCTCTCCAAGGCGTCCCTTTGGCTTCTCCCTCATGCAGCTCGGGTTTGAAATGCAGCACGACGGCGCCGTTAATCACGCCTGCACGTCAAAGCAACTTTGCCAGGCAGAATCGGAATGCCCTCTTCTGGTGAGACTGCGACCCGTGCGAGCTTCGTCCCAAGGTGCTTCGTGAGTTTAAAACATTTGCGGTGGCACGATCCCTTGATAGAAGACCCCCCCCACCCCACCCCACCCCCCCTTTTTTTCACTTTCTATCTGCTGGAGCAAAATGCAAATCGTGAACTCGCACAATGAAGCTGAAATTGTGTTTTTTTTCTGCAGCCTGCTGTGTGTATGTGTGTGTGTGTGTGTGTATGTGTGTGTTTGTGTGTGTGTGTATGTGTGTGTGAGAGAGAGTTCAGGGAGTGCGTGTTGTGATGAGGGTCCTCACAAGTTGCCTGCACACACGAGCACCACCATTCTGCACGTGCGCGTCCTTTGTGCGTCCAGCTCCGACCTCATGCTGTGATCCAATACAAGGCGCTGTCCGTGGTGCTGACATGCTCCATTTGAGCCACTGAATGCGGGCGCACCGTTTCCAGGCACCGTCCAGGGGTTCGATTCCCTTTCCCCTCCTTTCACGTGTTTATGAAAAACGGCTGGAGCAGAAGTCATAAACAGAATCCTACTTAACATTCTGCACTAACCCCGTATTGGAAATGCAATGGTGCTTAATCGACAGCAGGCCTCCCTCTGCGTCACCCCAGCTGCCTGTATTTAAGGAAGCAATGGGCAGCTGAATTTTTAATGTGCATCTCATCTGCACCGGTTTGCTAATCTATGTTGCCCCTTCCCTCTCAACCTCAAAACGCAACTGGCCTCATGCTGAAATATACACCCTCAATGCTTTTAAGATATAATGATCTGTAAAGATCTAGAACATGTCTAAAGGATTTATGAATCATCCTCTTATGAGCAGATTTTTTAAAAGGTTTGTTTACCTCATGTCCGAGATATTCCAGTTAAACTCTGTACTTTCTTTAACAGTATATATGCATATATTTATCCTATACATGGGCAAATTATATAATGCTTTAGAATCCTTCAAACTCGCAGTCATTTAAAATAGTCAAACTAAACAACAGCGAAGCCAATTACAACTTAAAATTATTTTCTCTTTCACTTTTCATTGTGCAAAATAGGACTTTTTAAATTGAAATTGCTCCCGGAAGATTTTTCATCTATAGCACAAGGGTTTATTTCCTGCCGCACCTCCAACACTTAGCTAATCACTGCTGTAAGCGTGCCACCAAATGCACCTCTTCACACACATCTTCTACTGTAGTGCATCATATTCACAGTACACCAGTCACTGTTGATAAGACAGTGTGTCACATCAATGCCGATGATGCCTGCGTCTGCCACGTCTTCTTCACAGTCATTCCGTCCTGATGAATTAGCCATTTGTCACAAGCGGTTAGTGTTGCACCGATTCAAACGCTCACTGTTGGCTACCTGTTTCCAGAGCGTCAGACATTCTCCAGCATCGTCATAAAGTTGAGCATCCTGCTCTGTAGCCGCACAGCCTCGCTCTCTGCTCCCGTGCAATTTGGCTGATGACTTTACTTCTGGATGCCATTCAACAAGCCGAGGCCGTTCTGCTGACGGCGCTGAGACAATTAATATACTGTTAAGTTATGGAGACACGGACAGCGCCAGTCCACAGGCTCCAGCTGGGATTTATCCCCTCGAGAAATATGACTGTATTGTTTACTCTCGCCTTTTTACACGAGCGGTGAATTATATCAGCCTGATGGTTGAAGAAAATATCAGCGTCAATCCTTTGCAAGATATGTAGATAAAGAAAGAAAGTTAAAGACCTTGAACAGCCGAGACTCTTATGATCCAGTTCTACTTTTAAAGTATTGAAACATTCTTCACTGGCAGGAAATCTGTTCGTTGCCAGGCAATTTCCACATGCTGAACAATTTCAGGTCGCAAGTGTTGAGGCCTTGAGTCATTTCAATAGCGCTGCATTCTGAGCTCTATATCCAGTTTAACAAAAATCCTTCAAATGCTTATTGTTGTTTTTTTTTTATTAGATTGATGTTATAAACATTAAAGTCTCCACACAGAGTACAATATGAATCATGTGCAAATAGCATAATGCATAATGAAATAGAAACAATGCTGAAATTGCAATGGCATTCTACAAATCACCGTGTTACATCCTTGTGGAGTTAACGCTGAAATTATAAATCCAACAAATGCCTGAATGCATGACTCAGTGACTTAAAATGACCTGAAAGTATCTTGTGCGGGCGCATCTGTCCCGCTTAGTAATCACCGACAGAGACGCTTTTAGAAAAATATAAATCTGCTGTAAATGTAAAACAACAGATTTGTTCTTGGGATAATAATTGAGATACAGGAGAGTAAAGACACCAGACATGTGCAAAGACGAATGAAGAGTCCGTGAATTGTTCAATGACCAAACTGCCTAGGTGAAATTTACGGCCTTCACAGGTGTACGTGTTCTCCTTAGCGATTCTGACTACAGAAGATATTTTCAGGCTATCTCCAGGGTGAGAGACAGCTCTGTTCTGTCCTTCCCATGTTCACATTAGACTGGGATTGTTCTCTCTACCGTTCCTTTTTCTTTTTCCATTTCCTCTGATCTTAAGCCTGGCAGAATAATCTTAACTTGCCTCAAGGCAATTTTCAACCTGACACCGAGTTTCTCGAGTTCACCTATGAATGTGAATCATAGGAGCAAATATCCAGGGACAGTTTATACGGTAAATACAAAGCCATGTGAAAATATAACTTTTTCTCTGCCTTTGCATTTTGTTTGTGTTTATTTTTGTCTCTTTATAAAAAAAGATGTGTTTTTGCACAAAGACTGTTACATTTCCAAGGTTGCCGCAGCAGATGTGGTTGTTGTGAATCTGTGTTTTGCAGGTCTCTTCCATTAACCTTTACCCCAAGCTGGGTTTCAATCTGGACGGCTATGTTGCACACACTGCAGCTCAGGTGGGGCTGCAGTGTTTTGACTTGGAAGTACATTCAAACAGATTGGATCATGTTAAACAAGTATGTTAACTCACGCTTTTTGTGTGACCACAAGATCTTGTTGTTTCATAAGGACAATAATTCAGAATGTTTTAGCTCAACTACTTTAATCCTCATACTTCAGAAACAATTATCAAACCAAGGTGATGTGTTTTAGAAATGTGATTGAGTTTCTCCTTCATTTTCAGATCCATTCTTCTGATCCATTCTTTTGAGCTGAGTTCTGCACAAAGGAAACATCCATTAGCCGACTCTGGAAACATACTTCACAGTGTTGGGCAGTTTTACTTAGTAACGTGGTAAGATTACTTTTTATCAGTTAATAAAGCTGCAGACCTGCCAGATGAAGGATAGTGCTTTGTGGCTTTGATATGCTTTGGATGTGCTTGTTTGCAGGAGCTTGAATGAGGGATGGTATGAGTTGGATCTCCCAGCATTCAGTGGGACTGGATGGAAACATGTTTAGTACATTCAGTCAGGAAAACATTCGTCCAGACCCGATGGTGTGTTGAATAACCTCTTGTGTTATACATGCACACAGCCTTGTTTTAATACAGCAGGTTTGCTGCTGATTAGGTAACGCCTCCGACACACCTACCAAACGAGAGAAATCAAACCTCCCAGCTTGTTGCACGTGGTTTCACACAGATCCAAGGAAACACGTTCAGTGGAGGAAATGACCATGTTCCAGTTTATATCCCAGTTGCATCACTAAGGCTGGTGATGTCACTGACCCACACAGCCTCTATGATCTGGAGTTCCAAACTGGAGGTCGGTCGGTGCCGATGATAATAATAATCCTCAAGTGTGAGCAGTTCACAAAATAATCTTAATAATCTACCAGTTGAGTCGGAGCCTCACTCTTGAAACGTAAATATCAAACGTTTGATAACTCAAATCTTCTGTGAGATTCCAAGTCTCTGGAATCGACGCTGTGAAATCGTGTGTGGTCTGACGTTTATCAGATTAAAAATCAGTAAAATCATTATGAGCTTATTGAAAATCCTCCAGTGTGCAGCAGCTCTAACCAGGAACATGGGGCCACTATAGGAACTTAAGGACTATAATAGGATTTGCACTATCTGCCTTAACCTTTGCTTCCCATGCAAAATCTCTGAAACTGTATATACGGTTGGCAGGTATAGATAAAAATAATAATTGAATGCTTTAGTCTTTTCTTTTGTCACAAAAAATAAAGATATACAAACAAATAAAAAGCCCATTTTAATAACATTTAAAGGGATACAAATCCCAG